ATGGGGAAGGGGGCTGGACTCGATCTTTCGAGGTCCCTTCCAGCCCTAATGTCTATGAAATCTATGAAGGGCTGAAACATAGCTCAGAGGCTCAGTTAAATCAGCATCAGATTTCCCCCCACAACCACAACACAGACATGTGCTAGAACCATATCGGAGCAGGAGAGACCACCTTCTCGTGCCTACCATCCTGGGATCTGATGTAATGGGTTTGTCAGCAGCCACCCACGCTAAAAGCATCCCACAACTCTCAAACAACGGCCACCATCACTGCAGCAGCCAAGCACCTCAATCTTTTAACACATTTATCCTCAAGTCACCCCTGCGAGGCAGGGACATGCTATCTCCACACCACAGGAAAGTGGCACAGAAGGGACAGACAACTTGCCTACAATGTCACACAAGAGGCCAAGACTTGAACCTCCATCTCTCAAGTCCTAAGTTAGTACCTATCACCAACCTTGCCACATGGCAAACCCTCCAAGTTATAAAAAGGGTGGAGAAGTGACTGCTCTGGGTGAGGTTGTCTAAGAGTTCCCATTCAAATCCCCTGTTTTCAGTCAGCTGTTTCCTTTGGCTTGTACCTTCCTGTTGGTACCTCCTGACTGAACACTGGACCAATCAAGCTTTAATATTCTCTGAACAACTTTTCTCCATGGAGCACAGACTCTCAGAGAAGCAGACTTAAAGGTCTGACAGACCACTGAGTAATGGGAAATCAAAGAGCCCATTCCCTGGACAGAACACAAAACAACTGATTGTAGATCTGGTTCCATCCTTTATTATTTCTACAAGTAGAAACAGCCCAGAGCTCCTCCAAATTTCACAGGCTACATTTGGCTCAAGGCCACAGGGGAATGGAAGAAATAAATATAGGAGGAGGTTGGAGTTAAAATTAGCACTGATGATTTCCCTCTGAGGGTAACTTACTTGTCTATTTTCAGCTGGTCGTGCGCGCTCAGTGGAGGGGGCTCATAGAGAACCAGAGCTCCTTCTTCAAAAGGGTCGTGGAGAGAGTTCCTCACCCCTGCCCGCTTGATGCCCAGTGCCCTCAAGCCCAGAGGCCCTAAAAACAACCAAAGACAAAATTCAAAGGGTCATCCGAGAAAACCAAGCCTTACCATAGACCAAGGGTCTAGAAACAAGGTGTTGCCTGGCTGGAGGAGGCTGAACAAGCGATGTGCAGTGCTGGGGATGCAGGCAAAATACAGATGCTCTCTGAAGCCAGGCTGTAGCTTGGATGGATGGCTTGCTTGCTGATAGCAGGGAACACAGAGCACTTCCACCCACCAAACCCACACAGACCTAGCAACTCTCCCTCTGCAAAGCAGCAGGATGCCTTCCAAGACAGCACTCAGGGGCTGCTGCTGTTTCCTGATTCTCAAGGGCCATAATTTCACTCTGCTTAAAGAGAAGCCTGGCCATTCTCTGAACACTGTACTTTAGAAAGCCACTGAGCCAAGGCCTCCTCTCAGATACCTGCACACACTGAGGGCAGAAGGGGACTTTTGGCAGCTGTCTACCTTTACAACACCCTATTTTGTACAGCACTAGCACGTCTTGTAATGGCAACGTATAATCTACTGCATTATCATCCTTCTGCTGTGCAGTAGATGTTGAGGCCTTTCAGGTCAACAGCCAGATAGAAGAGTAGAAGACAGGGATGCAGAATCTGGCCATTTACCTAGTGTTATCTGTTATATGTAGAAACACACACACCCTGGAACAGAGATGGTCACAAACATCAAGCAGGCCCAAACCCTTCTTCTGAAATCTCAGTGCAAACACAAATATCAGTGCCTAGTACCCAACAAGTAACTCTACCCTAAGGCCTGACTCTTGTCAGAGACGACTGCAGATGGCACATAGCTCCCTAAGGACCATATTCATCACAAAACCAATAACATGCTTCTCTTCGAAGGTCTGCATGCTACTCACGCTCAAAAGAGAGATCATAAGATCACACATGCACATGTGGTCTGCCAAATCCCACCACAAAAACACGCAGTTGCCGTTACAGATGGCACCTTTCATAGTAAATGCCAAGGAATTCAAACTTCTTTTCATACCTACTTTTTCAGCTCCTACCAACTTTGTCAAACCAATTCCTTTTGGGCTGGTTATTAAATGCTTGACTTGGCCCAAAGTCTCCAAGGCATCTTTTTGTTTTGTTTTTAAAAAATAAAGTTGAAGCAAAATTGGCTGACCTGTTTTGGAATTATTCAATCAGGGGGAAAAATGGCCCCATTTGTTCCCATCAGCAAGTCTGTGCTTCGCTGATTTGCAAATAGCTGAAACCACAAACTTCAGAACAATTCTTGCTTTAAATAGCACCTTCGGACTCCCGAGCACCCCACTGAACATAAAGAAAACTGGCACGCGTTATCGGTCTCCCGCACATTCTGTCTTGTTAGCAATCTTAGGGTTTTGCAGGCTAAATAATACCCTGGGAGCCAAGAAACTGTCTCGCACTTGTATCCGGTAATGCAGCATACAATTTTACAGCACTACATAAAATACTTAACAGCAACAACATGGAAGCTAGTGCAGGATAATCCTAATTAAACACTGCTAAGGAAGAAATCAATTCACTAATGTGCTAGTCTTTTTGTTTCCCAAATTAACTCTGAACTTCTAAAGCACGCCCCAGTAGCAAGGATATTTCATAAACCCAAGCACCATCTATTTTATGAAGTTAGATTTTGTCCAAATCATTATTATTCGGGGAAGGAAAAAGAGTCATCTTACCTTTATAATTTGGAATAGGGACTTTGAAAGGTTTTGACAAAATGCTGCGGATAAATGCCTCCTAGGGGTTGAGAAAAGAAATTTATGTTAGAGCCATTTGCTATCAAAGGTAGCAATAAAACAGAACAAGGTGCATACTAAGGGCCCCAGTCTACCAGCAGCTGTGTGCTCTCCAGTGTCCACTGAGGCTTGTATCCCAGATATTTTTAAGTTACATCCAGCACAGAGGAAAAAAAAAAAACACCACGATCAGCAAAAGTTCCCCTCTGGACTTTTCCTATCTGACTCTCAAATGCACGAAACTAACTGATACCATCTCTCTTCAACACCATCTGCCTCTTGTTTAAGTGCATTTTTAATCCCACGGGTGCCAGTGTGTAATGTTACCATCCATAAAGGACCTGGTTGTACAGCTAAAGTTATCTCAGCGGGGTGTCTAGGTGCTACACTGATACTATCAATAAGGTAATCCCACAAGTCCTCTTGCTATGGAGTCCCCACGAGACAACACAAGCCTTTAGAAGACCTTAGTCCTGATCCATTCATGCTTTTGAAGTTAAGCAAGATATTTAGTAAAACCGCCCCGGCCTTGTGCTGACAACAGATCCTCTCGAGAGACCACGTACATGTTTGCTGCTATCAAGGCAATGAGGCCGATTGGTAAGCTGAGCCAGGGGTTTCCGGAAAGGCGACATGTAGCATTGCCCACTCTCCGTGTTGCTGCCAGGTTTCTGTCTCTTCGGCGTCTGGAAAAGAGAATCAGGACAGAACACGTGGGTATGCAGACACCCAAATAGGATAAAGGTATCACCATCATGCTCAATAAGCGTCTAACTGCACAGACCATCCAAGTGAAATGGAAAACAGCAGATCGCTACTCCCTGCCCTTATCCTACAACAAAGCCAGGTTCAGAAGGGATGCTACCAAAGTCAACGGGCCTCACATTTAACCTGTCCTGAAGCTAAAATGCTTAAAATATTCATATTTAGAAGATATCAATGAAAATGGTTGGGGGACTGGAACACAGGACTTGTGAGGAGAGGCTGAGGGAAATGGGCTGATTTAATCTGCAGAAGAGAAGACCGAGGGGGATTGAATAGCAGCCTTCACCTCCCTGCAGGGGGGCTGCAAAGAGGACGGAGCTGGACTGGTCTCAGTGGTGGCAGATGACAGGACAAGGAGCAATGGGCTCAAGCTGCAGCAAGGGAAGTTGAGGTTGGATATTAGGAAAAACGCTCTCACAAGGCAGGTGGTGAAGCGCTGGAACAGGTTACCCAGAGAGGTGGTGCACCTCCTTGGAGGTTTTTAAGGCCTGGGTAGAGAAAGCCTTGGCTGGGACGATGTAGTCGGGGCTGGTCCTGCTTGGAGCAGGGGGTTGGACTAGATGCGACTCCCAAGTTCCCTTCACACCCTCATTTTCTATGAATCTATATCCCTCAACTCCTCACTAAACCACAGTGGTTCTGCTGCTAAAATACAAGGGTTTAAATGTCATGGAGCAGGAGACTGGATCAGCAAAAAATAGATTAGCTTTGTTTTCACTTTGCATCCTTCCTTCATGGGGAAAAAGAAACCCTGGGTGCTGGCACTCGGATCGTAGCATTCAATTCTTCCTGGAAGCAGGTGCGCGTTGGGAGTCCTTATTATGCAGATGAAGACACCATGCGTTTAAAAGCCAATTTTTAGACACTCAAAGCCACAAGCCAAAAGGAGATCGATGGCTTATGCTGATCTCACTGCAATTGTTTCTTTCACCCACCGGGGCACCTCCCTAATGATCTGAGCACAAACAGAAATGATGGGTTGGACAAAGAAATCACTGGCTGAGGTTCCTGGCCTATATTATACTGCAAATCAGGCCAGGCTATCAAAATGCCCCTTTCTGCCTTAAAAAAAAATTCAACCAGTGGTGATGCCCAGCAATTTATCCTCCCGCAGCACAGCCAGGAGGGATCATGCGTGTCACCGAGAGGCACCCGCTCTACCAAGCACACTCTGATTTTTGGTCTAGATGCAAATGCTCCTAAACACGTAGAAAGTTTGGAGTTACGCTTCAGTCCCAATCCCAGGAGGCTGTGTCAAAAAAACCAATGAGGTGCCAACAGCCAGGGGGACCGAGCATGGGGCAAGAAAGCCCTGCCTAAACGAGAGAGACTTGCAGCTCGCTCTTGTAGCCAAGGGGGATCCTGGGAGGGCCGGGGGGGTGCAGCCATGGAAGCAGGGCGTGGGGGGCTGCCAAAGGAGAAGGGAGCCCCGATGCCCCGGGGGGAGGCTTGTCGGGGTGCAGGACATCGGGGGTGGGGGTTGGAGCTCACGGCGGGCGGGCACCAGTCCTCATCCTCGTCGGCGCCGTCCGGCTTGCGCTTGGCCAGCTGGCTGGGCGCCAGGCTCCTCCGCTGCAGGGAGAGGGGGACAGTCAGGGGGAGCCCGTGGGGCATGACCCCCCCAAACAGCGGCAGGGCATATGGGGAGCACCCAGCCCCTCACCATCTCCTCCCAGGCGACGCAGCCCCATGCGGGGCACTGGGCTGCAGCACAGG